TGCCTATTTTCTATCTCTTTCTAGTACTTAATGAATTTTTCTGTCTAGATGAGTAAACAAATGATGTCTTCAATGTTTGATGTATGTTTCAGAGGACCCATTGCACCCAGCATAGTAGGATCTGGATGACCACACCCTTCTCCCACAGCCAGCATTATCTGACTTCAATAAACTACAAGCCTGGGTGGCAACTGACCTACTCTCGGATGCTAGGTCTCTTTCTATAATGCTTTTTTTTTTTGCCATTTATTATGTCAAAGAGCTATTTCCTGTTGGCTTGTAACCAGATCATAAACAAAGGGAGGAGAAGCTCTTGGTTACTTTATGATTCCAGTTTAGCCTTCTCCCTTCTCTTCTTAAATCATTTGAACAGAGCATATTTATTACTTGGCGGACTGGTAAAATGTAAATAGGGTTTGCTGAAGAAAGCTCCAAAAGTCTAAGGAATCTATCATTTCCCAACAACAACAAAAAATAATAAATGATAAGAAGGAAAGTCAAGAGACCTAATATTTAGTAATATCAAGTATTGTATGTGCTTAGTCATTCATTTGATCATGACAACAAGAAGTTTCCCCTACCAACCTCACAGCAATCTTGAGAAGTTAACAATTATTAACCTCACTCTAAAGATGAGGTTCAGAGTGGTTAAACAAGTTAGAGCCTGAGCAGGAATAATACTAAGCAAAACTCTTATACTTGGAACTCTGACACCAGAGCTGCTTTCTTGCCACACTGGGGATAGGCAAGTGTCCCAGGACCAGAAAGATATCTGAGGATGTCTCCTCTGTTATGTTCTTGTAAAAATCGATGGTTTTCCATAAAATTACCTCTATTTACATTTTAGCCCCAGGCTTTTCTCAAAGCCAGGGAGAGCCTCAAAATTAGGAATCCTTAAATCATTAAAGACTGAAAGTAGCTATTGGTTTGATCTAATCAGCTGCTAGGACACTGTTTACTGATCACAATTTCATGAAAGCATAGACTCACATAGCAGATTTAGAACCACAAAAAGTTTCAGAGTATCAGAGCTGGAAACAGAGTAGTGAGCAAACATACACAATTTTATTTCATACTAATTCTGACAGGTAGGAAGTATTCCACCCTGGAGGTCAAGACTGGCTCAAAGACATCTAGCCAGGCATTATGGTGGCATTAAGATTCAAGTCTCCATTGCTGATTTCAAAGCCAGATCATTGGGGTGAAGATTCAAGAAACAGATGGAAAGCTATGTGGTCTGCAGGGCTGAGAAGAAGGAGACAGGGGCATTTTTGTTGAGTGCCTGATCACCTTGCAATATGGGAGTGATTTTTATTTTATAACTGGGGAAACAGACTCAAGAGTAGTGAGATAAGTAACCCAAAGTCAACAGCTAGGTAAGGATCAGAAACTATGTCCTCCATGGTACTATTTCCCAGACATGGAAGAGAAGGAAGTCAGAGAACAAGACTAGAAAAGAGCCATTCTGGATAAAAGACTCAAGGAGACTCCATTACAGGAAGTGTGTATCTCCCTTCTGCATGAACCAGATGGCATGTTGTGGTGACTCCATCACGGTCCTACCAACATCGCTTCTTCTCTGACATAAATGTGGGACCTCCTTCATATTGACTTTTTCAGTAATTTGACCTGCAGTTACTCATACATTTAATTTCTTTAGTCAGTGAGGAAAGCAAGGTTCAGTGAGTTTATGTAATTTTCTCATCTGTTAAGTGGCCGAGAGAAGATTCAAATCCTGATACATCTGAATATAAAGGCTGTTCTCTTTGCTAGCACCATATTTTTTCCCCCATGAATATCTTAAGCCTACAGCAGGGGTAGGAAAGCATGAAAGTCCTCAGTCTCTTTGTAAAGGTGAGGCAGCTTACCTCAGAGAGACTAGAGGACTTACTGAAGGGCACTGTCTGGGATGTGACTTGTGCTGTCATCAGAACCAGGTCTCCTGACTCACAGTCTAGAGGACACTTCCTCCCAGACCATCCTGCCATTCCCATCAGACCATGTAATTTCTTTTTCTGATTGGGACATGGAGCCAGCAGCCAGCGAAGATCACAATCTGTCTGGCTAAAGTCTCTCTGTTATAAAATAGATGAGGATTTCAAAAAGAAATAAAAGTATCATCCTTGTGTGCATTGAAATTAGCCTTCACTTCTCTGGTGTAACTCTAGTTTCTCCTTTTCATCCTCTGGCAGACAGAACAACAGTCTCTTTGCTTTGTTCTGCTGGTATACAACTTCTCCATTTATCCTTGACGCTCTCTAACCACTACCTCCTGTGTCCCACTACCATCCCCAAACACTTCACTCCCCACTCTTCCCAATCCTACATTCAAGATATCCTACAGCCAACAATGTAGTCTAGGCCTGGACCATCTTCCATCTGGATCATCTTAACAGCCTTCTAAGGCATGTCTTCATCTGTAGTTCTGGCATCTCCATCACTCCTATTGAAGTTCCTTGTATAAGCCAGGTGATGGTAGCTTATACCTGCAATCCTAGCAACTTAGGTGGCTGAAAATGATGGATGGTTGGCTAAGATCAGTCAAGGCAGAAAAGCTCATGAGGTCCCTTCTTGGTCTGGATCTGTGCACAATGGTACAGATGTCCTCTTTGGGGAATAAGCTGGAACTCTTCTTCAGGAGCTCCTTCTATCTCCTTTGGAGCAAAGCAGGTGCAGAATGGAATTGACTAATGAATATACTAAAGTGTGATGGCATTCTGGAGAAGTCACTGACCACAAATCATCAAATGGGGGTGGAGGGGGAGGAGGCTGAGGGGGCCTCTGTGGGGGCACAAATGGCTAGGACTTTGGAAAATAGCTCATGTGTTTCAGTGCAGAACCTGCTGCCTTGGCCTTGTGGAGTGAGCAGATTTCAAGATGGCTGTCTCAGTTTCTGTGCTTGTGGGGAGGGGACTCTGTTCTATAGGGGATGGAACACTGCTCTAATATCAGGCCTCCCCCTTATTAGCCTCCCTCCCTCCCAGACTCTTGCCCTGCTTCCCATGTTCCCAGCAAGGTAACTAGGAGCTACCAGGCTGCCATTGGCTCAGTGGACTAGTCCAAAAACACATCTTAAAGGTTAAAGAAGGGATAAGAGGAACACTTTTATTTCTGTAGAAGGAAAATTTATTTATATGGTGGGCCTTCCATACCTATGGTTTCTGCAGTTGAGGATTCTGCTAACCATAGACAGAAAGGATTTTTTTTAATTCACTTGCAATAAATATGTATACTTTTCTTGTCATTACTCCCTAAACAATAAATTATAATAAGTATTTACACGGCATTTACATTGCACTAGGTATTATAAACAGTCTGCAGATGGTTTAATGTATATGGGAATATATATGCAGGTTATAAGTAAATACTATACCATTTATATGATGAGGTCTAGAACAAAGCCTTGCCCCCTCCCCCACACCAGATACTGAAGGACAACAGTCCACAAACTTTTTCCCATCCTTTTCCTTTTTTGTCCATCAACTATAGTTCTTTCTCTGAGAAAATTATGAGTTGGGAAAGGAGAAAGAGATTAATGTAAAATCCAAACGATAAATGAAAGCAGAGTACATTACGATCTGTCACAGCCATAATACAGTGGTTTTTGGAATTAAAACCAACACACAGGAAGATAGAATTACTAAATAATCCCCTTTTAAAAATCAAAGCCAGCACTGGTGGCTCATGCCTGTAATCCTAGCTACTCAGGAGGCTGAAATCTGAGGATCCTGGTTCAAAGCCAGCCTGGGCAGGAAAGTTGGTGAGACTCTTATCTCCAATTAACCACCAGAAAACGGGAAGTGGTACTGTGGCTCAAGTGGTAGAATGCATGCCTTGAGCTGAAGAGCTGAGGGACAGTGCCCAGGCCCAGAGTTCAAGCCCCATGACCACCACCAACAACAACCCAAAACCCAAAGAAGCCAAAGAACAACCCCTAATTTCATTATGGCCAACTTAGGAGTTTTTAGGTAAATTTTATGAAGAAACTAGGAGAAAAAGTAAAGAAAGGGAAATAGATGCACTGAGGACAAGGGCAGAAAATTAAGAAAGATGGAGGGGAAGTGAAAAGGAGAGAAAGAAAGCAAAGAAGGATGGGAAGAAAAGAGAAGACAATATGAAACAGAGCGACAAAGGCAAGTGAGGAGGGCGGGGTAGAATGAGAAGGAAAAGGAGCAGGGAGGAGAAAATAAGAAAAAGGAAAAATAGTGGGTAGAGAGGGGAGAACGTGTCAGAACAGAGTATTAGAAGACAGAGATAAAAGAGAAAATGGTTTTACATGCTCAGAGTTAAAAGGAGTCAGTCATTAAACTCTACCTTGGAACCTTTGAGTGTCATCCTGTAGGAGCCTGTGTGCTTACATACCTCAGACAGCAGCAGATCAGGCTGCATGTGGTGTCTCATGCTTATAATTCCAACTACTCCAGAGGAAGAGATTGGGAAGACCATGGAGCCATCCTGTGCAAAAAGTTAGTGAGACCATATCCTGACAAATAAGCCAAACATAGCTGTGCATGCTATTACCCCAGTTACATGGAGAGGGAAGTGGGGAGGAAGATGAGGTAGGAAGAGTATGGTTTGAAGATGGACTTGGACAGAATGTAAAAATCATTAAGGCAAAAAAGGGCTGGAGATGAGACTCAAGGGGTAGAACATTTACCTATGAAGCCCAAGACTTTTAAATTCAAACACCAGTACAACAACAAAACTTGTCTTACAAGAGAGGGGAGGGTAAAGGAAAGAGAGAGTGGCCAAGTAGAGAGGCCTGGGTCCAGGGGGATTTGGAACTTGGGAACTGTAAACACAGTTGGAAGGATGTCCATGTGAATGGCATATGAAGGGCAGGGGTGAACAAGACAGTATGAAGATGCGATCCCCAGGCTTTATGCTTACCCAAAATCTACCTTTTTCCTGAGCAGGGACTGACTCCTGACCTTCCCAGGAATGCCTGTCAGATGGATGAGGGGTGGCCTACCACCAGGTGGGTACCTGCTGAAGGATACAGGCTTCTTCAGTGTAGGGCACAGCAGCTGTGGTGCCCCCTATGATGTAGCTGTAGAAGGAGACCTCTAGGGTATAACAGTAGGAAGTGTGGTCCAGGAGCCCACCGAGGAAGCGTCGGCCAGTCCCTGCCTTCACTGCATCCCGGTTGAAGGACGTGCTTGACTATGAGAGAAAGTCAAAGGGAACTATTAGTATTGGGCTCCTTCTGACTACTGAGTCACAAGAAAATCATACCATGTCATCAGGTCTTCTTCATTAGAAATCCCATTTCTTGGGGTTATTAAAAGGATAGATGGGATCAACAATCCCAATTAAGTGAAAGAATTGAGTAGGGTTCTTGGATCATAGTGACTGCCATTCAACAACTCTCGATGGAAATTTGACCAGGGGCGCATCGAGTGCCGGCAAGCAGACAGGGAACTAGAAAGGACTACGTTATGCTGATCATCGGAAATAAACTATAGGCAGTGCTTTCAGTTTATCATCTTGTTCTCACATGTAGTGTCTCATTTAGGCTTCAAAGGAAGGCCTAAGCATCATTGCTAACATTTTAACTCTTTACAGTTAAGGAAACTGACGCTCATAAAGGGAGGGGGGGTAGTGGGGAGGATTGCGTGGGGGGGGCCAGGGGGAGGATGGGAAGGGATGGGAAGGGGAAACAAAGGAGGAGGCTACAATGTTTGATAAGAAATGCACTCATTATCTTGCCCATGTAATTGTAACCCCTCTGTACAGTATTTTCACAATAAAAAAATAAAAAAAATAGTAGAGATCTGAGCCTAGGATTATGTGCCTGCGGTAACCCCATGTCTTCAACCCCACTAGAGATAGCTAGGTTCGTGTCCCACATCATCAGAGGTTGGGGGTCATGCTGCTTCATTAGGGTGTTGACATAATCCATTATTGTAGCTAGAAAAGAACGAGAAGTTCCATCCAGTGCTCTGTTGAAACACAAGTTCTACTGCCTCTTGATGGTGAAACAGTAAGTATGTTGCTTTAGTTGGCCTAATATCAGTTTCTCATCTGTATAGTGGAATTGCAAGGGTCCATTCACTTGATGTTGTGAACTTATGGAAATCTAAGGGAATGAAAACTGTGGTTTTAGTAAGAGGATATTTGCAGTATTCAGAGAGAGATCAAAGAAGGAAAAGAGGGAAAAAAGAGACAGTGAAAGAAACAAAACTCTGTGTGTGTGTGTGTGTGTGTGTGTGTGTGTGTGTGTTAAAGTAAAAGAACAGATGAAAAAAATCATAGAATGTCAGATGGGGAAAGGTCTCTTTGAAACCCTTGTAGTGATATCTAACTCTCCCATTTTGGAGTTGGGATCTGAAAATCAGAGAAGTGACCCTGATTGGATCAGGATAGATAATTTGACTCCAGCCTTGAGTTCCTAAGGAGATTGCACTGCAGGAACATCATTAGACAAAGTCAGAAATAAGGCTTCCAGATGGTATATCTTCTGTAGGTCCTGGAAACCTCACCCTTGAGAGGGTCTCTGAGACCTGTGACCTACCTTCCAAGGTATCTGGACCCAGGAGGCCAGAGCCTGCTCTGAAATTGCCCTGGTTTCAAAGAGACAAGTTGGTCGTCCCATAGAGCTTCCTACATAAAGTGTGGCTATTTTTGTCTAATATATCTTCAAATGGGCAGGTACATGCTTTGATTCTACCTTTAATTGATGGATACTTTGCACTAGATTCTCAACTCTCCTGGACCATTGGTACCACTTAGGTAGAAAGAAAGACTAGACTAAACGATCTCAGTTTCTCTCCTGGTCTAACATGCAAAGATTCTTGGATTCAAAATGCATTTTACAGAGCAGAAAGAAATCCATCATCCTCACTAATGTCCAGCCTGAAGCAATGAACAGGTGAATTTTCAGCTCATCAACTCCAAAAATTGCTATGACCTCCATGGGTTTCTCCCCCTGTGGCCACATGGAAATAACAAGGCCCAGAGATTTAGTGTCAAAACAAAGGGAAATGGGCAAAAAAAATCACATGCTCCAGCACCATATTCTGATCCTTCCCTTATCTTTGCTCTCTGCTCTTTTTCACTTTTGCCTTCTGCTGCAAGCCTTTTCAAACTTACAACCTGCACCATCTTTCTCACATGTGATAAGGTAGCAACAGTCTTGGGAGTTTGTTGAGGTCTTTATTGTCTGCAGGGGACTTTCATATCTATAGCTATACATGTCATCCTGGGAAGCTGTGGTATAGTCAGAGTAGACAGAGCTCACTTGCCAATTACTGACAGAGAAATGGAAGCTGGGAAATAGTTGTGGAAGAAGAGAATGGTGGGCATATGGCCCTTTGAGCAGACATGTTAACTTGAATTAAACCAGTTAGGGTAGGTAAAAAGAGCCCCTGGAAACAACATGAGTTGGGGGAGGTACTCAGTGAGTTTCTTTTCCTTGTTAATATTGGGGTCAGACCCACTAATTAAACGCCAGCTTCTCAGATAACTCAAACACTGCCCTGTTGGAGTCTTGCTTCCTGATTTAGGACGAACTCATAGCTTGTAAGCCTCTGCCTTTATCACTCATGCAAGAACTGGAAGTGTTCTATAAAGGTCCACTCAAACTGATCCGAGGCAGAAGAAAGAGAGGGAGGCAGCAAAAGGAAAAAGCACGGGGGCATCCCGGGGGTGAGAGGGGTGGCTATGTGAGAGCTTGTGACTTACATAGGAGAAGTCCTCAGCATTCTGGCAAAGGAGCTTGGGGAAAATAGCCTGCCTTTGGAACCGTTCCTCATCCTCAAAGATATTGCCATACATGAAGCCATTCATCATGGTGGAGTGGGCGTGGATGTCAATATAGAATTCCAAACTTGTTTTCTGTTGAGACAAAAAGGACAGAAAATGAGAAGTCTGGGATCATAAAGCTTGTCTTAGTGGGATGGAAACCAAACACTGTCTGCACTTGTGTACACACATGCACACACACAAACACACACACACACACAAACACACATACACGCACACACAACACACACATACACACAAACACACACATACACACACGCACACACACATACACACACAAACACACACACATGCACACAAACACACACACGCACATACACAAACACACACACATGCACACACACATGCACACACACACAAACACACACAAACACACACACACATACACACACAAACACACACACACAAACACACACACACACACACTTTTAGTCTGGCCCTTAGTGTCAGCACATTTGGCAGCTATTTGCAATGTGTTTGGAGGCATTGAGGCAGATGAGGATCACGTTCTCTTCACTTTTACCCAGTATGTCCCCAGGGTCTGAGAGCAGTGCCACCAGTATCCCTCTGTGGAGGTGTTCTGAGGAAGTGAGGTTTTTGTTATGTTCAGTGAGGACGGTGCTTGTGCAGAACAAGTAACACATTCATGATGAGACATTAGAAAAATATAGTCATCCGATAAGCAGAAATGCTTCCCTAATTGTACCCTAATTGTATTTGTTTGGGGCCTAGTATTACATCCCCCACCCCCAAACTTGCCATTCTATCTGGGGGATCTAGTATAAATCATGTTTCTATTTTGTATCTCAACTTTCTCATCTGCAAAATGTATTTTGATTCCAATCTCAGAGAGTCCTAGTGGAAATCAGACACAGTAATAATAATCTCTATCACTTCCTATGTATCTAATATGTGAGAACTTTACCTATGGTGTCTTCTATTTAATTTTTTTCATGATGAACCTATACCTGTTCCCCAATAACATCTAAATTGCTCATGATGGGAAGAAGCTTTTGTAGTGTGAAAGTCACATTGACTAGTCTTTCTCTGCTTTCTGTTTACATATATTTAAGGTGCTTCCTACATTGGCATGATACTAGCTGTTGATGTTCTGAGAAAGTATGGGAGATGTATGTAAAGAGATCAATGTCTGTAAGTACAAATGTTCAGCAACTGTCTTCAGAAGGACTGAATTAAAGATCAGATAGTATAATGGACTGGAATAAATGAAGGAAATTTTTAGGCCATTAGAGTTTCAACATCCTTCAAGTACAACCTTCTTTTCCTACCTCTCTGCCCAAAACATATCTATCAGTCCTTTGTGAGAAAAATGAAGGGCTGGAATGTGGAAGAGATTTACTCAAGCTCATAGAATAATTGGGGCTTAACACATAAGCTTCCTGACCCCTGGTAAAATTAACGTATTGTCATCATGGCCAACATGGAGACACCTAAAGCAAAACCTGGCTACATCTCTACCTTCTTTGGGTATATAATCTGAGGAAAAGAAAAAGATCCCATTTGGAAAGATTCTCCCTCCTCGGGACCCTTTCCAATGAAGTTAAAGCCAAATGAAAACCATGTTGCTTTTAGAATGTGGGCTTGATGACTGTCATTTCATTTGCCTCCAAGTTGGAGTGAAAAATTATGTCTTGCTGAGCTCCCAGTTCTCTGGGTAGCATAAGCTGTCTTTTGAGAGATACAAGATGCACGGCTCTGTGTGATATTAAACTCATCATTTTCAGCTTTGGAGGTGGAATACACAATGATTCAACAGGAGCCCTATAAAAGTCATTTTTGCAATTTTATTTTCTTCAATTGTCTGTCTTTTCCTCTGAGCATTTGATGAGCTGCAGAGGAAAGGAGGTGGTAGAGAGATGACTTAAGAAATGTGTGAGGAAAAACTGCAATTTATATCTCTTTATATCTCTGGCTGTCAGAACCAGAGAAGGCCTTGAAAATCAGTTTCTTTGACCTTTCTTGGATTAGCCCTGATGGGGAGGTTGCTTACTTAAGGGTGGCCAGCAAGCTGGTGAAGGAGCAAGAATTAGATGTGTGCTCTTCTGATAAGCATTTGGGTATGGCATCTATCATCTTTCACGCCTGGTGGCTAATGTGACTTCTCTTTCAACAACCAGCAGGTGAACTATAAGTGATTGACTCATATGATTCAAAAGTAAAAAAGGTTTGCGATAACTTACAGTGACAATCTTCCTTCCACATCACCCTCCAGGCATTTGGTTTTGCTCCCCAGAAGCAACTAATATGATCATACTGCTGTGTATTCCTCAAGAGATAGCTTGTATATATACTATATTCCCCATCCTCAAATAGTGGTACCTCAAGTATGCTACTCAGGTCTGATTTTTTCCCCCTCTCAATAGATCATGGAGATGATTCTTTTTCAGTAAACAAAAGGTCACTTCACCACTTAATAGCCATCTATAAACTATCCAGCTTCCTACTGACAGACATGTAAGGCATTTTCAATCCTTTCCTGTTACAATGTCTTAGTGATAGGCTTTGCATATGCAGCATCTCATATATATATATATATATATATATATATATATATATATATATATATGCGGGAACAATTCCTAGAGATGAATGTAGTAGTGCATGCTTATAATCCCAGCACTCAGGATTCTGAGGCAGAAAAATCACAAGTTGAAGGCCAGTTTGGGCTATTTAATGAAGCTCTTGTCTCAAAACCAAACCAAAACAAAGCAAAGCAAAGCAAACCAAGCCAGACATCCCAGATACAAAATTCTGAGATCTTATTCATCTTTGTAATTCTGATAACTTTTGATTTCTTGCCCTTAGAAAGGTCATACCTCCTAAACATGTATATCTCAATATTACTTTATATCACCAGAGGGACTAAACTACCAAGATGGTGCATAAAAAATGTTATTTAGGAATAATTAATCTAAATTTATGTATGTATATGTTTATTATATGGTTAAATACTTTTCAAATATTTAATATCTAATTCATTGTGCTTTATTTTCTGAACATCCGTTGATTTTTTTCATAATTTTCTATTCAAAATTTTTAATTAGCTCCAGTCCCCAAATCCTGACAATATTCTCAATATATATATACACATATATAATAAAATAAAATGAAATTCATAGGTTGCTCTAGAAAGAATTGACTCATGAATTGGAGTTTTCTCACCTAAGAATATGTTTTAACTTTCCTTTTATTTAGGTTTCCTTTACAAATAGGGAGTTTATAAAGTTTTTGATGTTGTTTAGATAAAATGTTCCAATAAACTAACAACTCTCACAGCTCTCTCTCTCTCTTCTCTTTCCTCTGTCTGCACCAGGATTTGAACTTAGGAATTTGTGCTTGTTAAGTGCTCTATTTGCACAAACCTCCAGACCAGAACATTTCTTTTTATATCCAGAAAGTTTATATTTGTAGCTGCTGTTGTAAATGTTATATTTATATATTTTTTATTGTAAAGATACTCTACAGAGGTGTCACAGTTACATGAGCAAGGTAATGAGTCCATTTCCTATCAAGCATTGTTACCCTCTCCTTTGTTTTCCCCTACCATCCCTTTCCTCCCCACCTCCCCAATTCCTCCCTCCCTCCTAAGTTGTAAAGTTCATTTTAACATAGTGTCTTGTACATCTTGTTGTTACAATAAGTCACCCTGTATCCTTATTTCAGCTTTTTGTTATTTCCCTTCCCCTCCCCAAATTAGAAAAAATGTATATACAAGATGCAGGGCACCGGAATCAAATACAGTGAAAACAGGGGTTATACTATAGGGGAAGAACGTACGAATGAAACAAAAAAAATCACATAGTACATTACAAGTACATTATAAACAACAGCAACAAAGATAAAAACCTCTTGTGTCCCTATCTTGGGGTTCATTTCGCTTAGCATCATCTTATATGGTCAAATAAGCATAGCTTTTGACCTTTTCTGCTTGTCCTAGACATACACTAGTTATTGCAGATAAGGGAAACCATGGGACCTATGTTTCTTTGGGCCTGGCTTACTTCACTTAATATATTTTTTCCAAGTCTTTCCATTTCCTAACAAATGGGGCAGTGTGTGTGTGTGTGTGTGTGTGTGTGTGTGTGTGTGTGTGTGTGTGTGTGTGTATCACATTTTCTTGATCCATCTACTGAGGGGCATCTGGGTTGGTTCCGTACCCTAGCTATGGTGAATAATGCTGCAACAGATGCTGGAGGGGATGTGGCCAAAAGGGAACCCTACTGCATTGTTGGTGGGAGTGTAAACTTGTTCAACCACTTTGGAAAGCAGTATGGAGGTTCCTCAAAAAACTATACATAGAGCTTCCCTATTCCCAGCAATCCCACTTTTAGGCATTTACCCAAATGATCTCAAACAAGACCATACTAAAGCGACCAGAACAACTACGTTTATTTCTTAGTTTTTATTCTCTGGATTTATTTTTCATGTCTACTTGCATTGGCTACGACCACAATAAAATTTAAAGGATATTGATTTCTAAGGGTCTTTCTTATCCTAAAATTCTAGAGGCTGGAATAGTGCAGAAAAAGGTCTAGGAAATATATTGGAATTGGATCTGAGGTTGAGGGCTTAGTTCTTTTCCCTCTTTATTGTACTTTATCCAGCACTTGACTAGAAATGTGAAAGGATACATAAACACCAAACCCGATTATGCTTTGTGCCTAAACTAGTTTCTATGGACTTGGGTTTGCACAATTAGAATCAAATATGAAAAGCCAAAGTGGATGCTATAATGTTAATTAACTCAGTCTGTGATTATAGGCATGCAGCAACTTTTCATCTTGACTTAATTCTCTCTTCTGTAAAAGTGATAAATGAGTAAAGAAGAGGAGCCTTCCTTGATGATTTTTTTAAATCATCTTTAGTTAAAATAATCCCTCATTTTCTGCAAAGGTTCCTGCTTGGACCTTGATATCAGTACTTGTTACTGTATCTTCAATCTGGCTAATGAGTGTGCTTTCCTATGAGATCCTGAAGGCCAGGGGTGAGATCTGATCCAAGTTCTCATCATCTTTCTTACTTGATCTACTATCATAATAACTTCTTAAACA